CCCCCTTCAACCCCCCCCCTTCAACCCCCCTCCTTCAACCCCCCCTTCAACCCCCCCCTTCAACCCCCCCCTTCAAAAATCATCCAAAATCGCGTGACGTCATTTATGGACGGCCCCTTATATGTACGCGACCTAATACAAAAAAACCTCTATTATGGATATTGGTCGCGACAGTCTACTATGTGTTGAACCAATCAGTTTCAAGGACAATGCATCATATTGTCAGAGTATGTTTTCTATTTGCATTCTGACCACAAGCATCGTGGTTAATACAGACATGATTAATTGTAAAAGGTTTCAGTTTGATGTTTTAACATCTTAACACAGCTGTTTTGAAGTCAGGACAAAAGCAATGCACTATCAGAGCATCTACAAAATGGGATCTCTTTGCCAGTATCAAAGTATGAAACAATACAAAAGTATGAAACAATACAAAAGTATGAAACAATACAAAAGTATGAAACAATACAAAAGTATGAAACAATACAAAAGTATGAAACAATACAAAAGTATGAAACAATACAAAAGTATGAAACAATACAAAAGTATGAAACAATACTTTGATACTGGCAAAAGGGTCCCATTTTGTAGATGTTCCCTGCGAGCTGTAAATGCTCTGATTGTGGCGCTGTTCTCTGGACTGACACTGGTGAGACTGGGCCACAAAGTAGGCTGCTGTCTCTGATGCAGGCCAATCAGTTTTTAATTCAATGCATACATGAACAGAGCGTGTGTGTTGTTTGCATGTTTCACCACAAGCACCGTGTGTGGGTAATGCAGACTTGATGTCTATTTGCTGTTTGAACATCTTGACTCTTAGTGGTTTATTGCCATAGGGTATAACCTAGAATTGTGTTTTTCCATAATTTTTAAACTGGAAAAGCGGTCCCATAGATATGCAACTATACACGGCTTGTCCTGCCACAAATGAACCACGATACCACCTTGACGATCTCGTCAAGGGCCATGAACCATCGCGCGAACTGCGGTGGTCATCCTCACAGCAGCGGCTGTTGGCTGCTGGCCATCGAACAAAGACGCTCACTCACTCGCGCGTTGTCGGATGCGCTTCTGCGGCCGTCTGGAACCATCTTCCTTCCGCTATTAGGAAGCCACTGGGAGCTATGCGCATTTACACCGTCTAGATTGACAAACTCGCTTCTTGAAAGCTGCTTTTGTCTTTCATTTGCCGTCCTTCACCCGCACCTCCGATTAGCGCGATTGGCGGCTACGTACGGAGCGAAAGGAGCTCGACGCACATTGCGGTGACCGCCCTGGTCACCTGTCCACTGCTCCTGCGTTCGCTCAGCAGGTCCCCACGACCACCACCAGCAGCAGCACTGCCCCGGAGTCCACGCCCCTCCCCTCAAGAGGAACCCGCTGTTCCGCGCGGACGCCGTGAGCGAGGGCTCGGCCCCCCACGCCGCGGTGGACGCACTGTCCCCCCTCGCCCGCGTGCCCCCCCGCACCCAGGCCGCGTGGACCCTGGAGGAGTTCAGCCGCAGGGCCGTGGCCCCTGGGGCTCGACCCACACCTGCGATGCAGGTGACCGGCGGTGGGGAGTGGGGAGGGGGGGGGGTCACTCCGGGGTCGCTTCTCCATTCGGGGTCAGCGTGCCACGTGGCCACAGCCACAGGCGCGCTGGATGCGGTGTGCCGGGTGAGAACAAAAAAAAACATTTTCCAGATCAGGCGACCAGGAGGACAGAGCCAGAGTCGGGCTGAAACGCCGCCCTGAATGCCAAGTGCGGCGCTGTTGACGATGGCCATGCTGCTATTGTTGTTGCTGCTCGCAACAATGCCATGCTGTACCCATGCAGCTCCCATGCAGTGCCCACGCTTTTGCCATACTGTGCCCATGCTGAACCCATGCAGCTCCCATGCAGCACCCATGCAGCACCCATGCTGTACCCATGCTGTACCCATGCAGCTCCCATGCAGCACCCATGCAGCACCCATGCTGTACCCATGCTGTACCCATGCAGCTCCCATGCAGCACCCATGCAGCACCCATGCTGTACTCACGCTGTACCCATGCAGTGCCCACGCTTTAACCAAACTGTGCCCATGCTGAACCGATACTTTACCGAAGTTGCCGCTCCCGTGCCGCCCCACCCGCAGCGCGCGCTGCGAGCGTCGCAGCCGGAGCGTCTGGAGTTCTGGCTGGAGGACGTGACCACGCCGGGCTACGAGGCCCTGCTGAGGCGCAAGGAGCAGCAGGAGCGGCGCTGGCGCTCGCTGCGCTGCGCCGCGCTGACCCTCGCCACGCTGGCCGCGCTGGCGCTGCTCGCCGGACTCGGGGCGGTGGCCGTCAAGTTTTGGGTCAAGTTGTGACGCCCGCCCGCCCGCGTCTGCTGCTTGTCGCAGAGGCTCGCGGTTCGAGAGCGGTGGCCGCCACGGTTAATTGTCGTCGTCATCAGCCATGGTCAATCCACTACTGGACGAAGGCCTCCCCACGCCTCCGCCACCTCTCGCGATCTTGAGATGCCACGAACCATCTGGCGCCCGCACGCAAGCGGATTCCGTCGCTCCATCTTCTAGGTGGACGTCCACTTGGACGCCGTGTCAATTCCTTCGCTGCCGCTCCGTTGTTGTTGTTCCTGACAGTCGTCCGTCGCTCCTCCACTGCGCTTCGTCTCATCCACAATGTTCAACCACCACCACCACGACGACACTGCAGGTCACAATAACACGCTCACCCACTCGCATCATTCACTCACGCCACCAACCACTCACCCACCCACCCACCGACTCACCACCGCTGCTTCCCTCGCACTGCTTCCACTTTGGAATTCTCTTCCGTGGTTACTCTCTCTCTCTCTTGCGCTCAATTTCAAGAAACGTCTTACCTCTTTATCACGCAACTTTAAAAGTGCTGTTTGTTGCTGGCCACTTTGGGCCTGTGATCAGCAACCGCGTGAACAAAAAATCCACGAATCGATTTAATCATTGATGAATCGACGAGTCATCACTGCCGTTCCCAAATTTTAAAAATTAAACCGCATTTTGTCCGTTGGAATCTACATAGCAATAATTCAAAGCTACCTTTGGGTTAGATCACGGTGTAGATAAAATGTAATTTTTTTACCCAAACCCTCCACCACCCGACAGAGCCGATCAAACCAAATTGTCGCGTGATGGGTCTATACGCCAATGGATTTGTTTAATTTCACATAACAGGTATACCTCCACGCAAGAGACACTGTTTACGAACCCTCACATCGGTCGAGAAAGCCTCGGTGTCAATATCGCGATCACGACTCCTCCCCCCCCCCCCCCCTTACTGCCAAAACTTGGCAAGACCCTCCTGAACACGAGTCGTGAGACCTCGGCGAGCGAGGCTTTCCTTGGGTTAAAGAAGCCGAATCGTAACAAAAAGATAACGGCCCGTCGTCCTTTGAGCGGCAGAGGGCGCTGTAGGTCCACCCTCAAGTCCACGAGGTCGGAAGTCAAGGGGCCCTAAACCAGCAACCGCTGAGACCCTGGGTTCACATCTGGTTTCGCATTTGGGTTCACATCTGGGTTCGCATTTGGGTTCACATCTGGGTTCACATCTGGGTTCACATTTGGGTTCGCATCTGGGTTCACATCTGGGTTCACATCTGGGTTCACATCTGGGTTCACATTTGGGTTCACATTTGGGTTCACATTTGGGTTCACATTTGGGTTCACATCTGGGTTCACATCTGGGTTCACATCTGGGTTCACATCTGGGTTTCAGCCAACTTTCATTTGTTGTATTTTATCACCGGTGCCCAAAAACGCCACGAGGCCAGCAACAAACGGCACTATTGAAGTTGCGATAGATGAGAGTGGTGTACACGACGTTTCTGGAATTGAGCAAAGGTTAACGTTACAAGAGCTTGGCGGTAGAGAGATGATGGGAGAGGTTTCCAATTATGGCTGTCGCCTGGCGATGCTCGTTGTAATTACCGGCAAAACGTCGTCCTCGAATTGTAAATGCTGCGGGTTTACTCTCCACCACACCGGTGTGCTGTAGTTACTAGTTGGCATGCGTGTTTACGTGACAAACCTTACTAATCGGCTACTTCGGGTGGTGGCGGGTTTAATGATACATTTATATTTTTGCGATCTCACCCACAAACCTCTATTATGGATAATATTGGTCGAAAGCCTACGGACGACGTGTTAAACTGAAGATTCCATCAGTCGCGCAGTGGGAGGGGAGAGGCAGAAATAGAATTGCGACCTGCAGTGTGGTGGGTGAGTGAGTGAATGAGTCAGTGGGTGTGTGGGTAAGTGATGGGTGAGTTGGCGAATTAGGGGGTTGGTGGGTGGGTGAGTGAGTCGGTGAACGAGTGAGTGGCAAGATGGATGGGTGGGTGTGTAAGGTGGGGTATGTTGTTGTTACTGGCAGTCGTAGTTGAACACAGTGTGGATGAGACAATCACCGTCCGGTAGAACCAACATGGGTGGCGACATCAACGAGTGACGGTCACAGGAACGGTGACCATCGCAGTAGGAGCAATAGCAGAGTGATAAGGAGATGACTGATCACTGGTGAGTGAGTGGCTGCAAGTGCTGGATCATCGATCAATTTGGTGACCGAAGTCACCCCTTGACTTTTCACCCGGTTACACAAAATAAACTTTAACTTCAAGGATTTGAACCAGGTTCTCAAGTGTTCGAGCGGGGCTTGATGCTGCCAACCGGGTCACCAATAACTGCACAAACAAATACTTGCATCATGAACACTCTCTGATATACCAGCTTTGAGAATTAAATTTAAAAAATTCGGTTTTTACTATCATGTGACAAACAACTCTGAAGCAGGGCCACGTGGTTGTGCAACACCCCCAAGTGTGTGCATAAGAGGTCACGTGATGGGATCTCAGAAGTAGTTCTGCGATATCCCATTCCACGGGCCGTTCTCTGACACGGGGCGTGATGCACCGCGAGAGTCGCCGCGCGGATTCCCCACCCAGTGGCGCGACGACAGCCGGCAGCGCAATCGGAATAAAATGGTCTGAACAAAACAAAAAGAGGGAGAAAAATCTAATTAACAAAACCAGAATTCTCTACGTCTCTCGCACACATAACAACGTTTACACCGACTGTACTTTATTGTCAACATCATTATAACAATTCTCAAATTAAGACATAAAAAACCCCCCACGAAGAATATGAACAACCAAATTATACATCGTTTCCTTTTTTTTGGTGAAGTGCAGCACGTCCCGTCGCAACCAGCGGGGCCCCTGGGGGTGCCACCACCACCACCAACGCCGTGCAGCGCCACGCTCCACCGCTCCCATTCCGTCTCTCGTTGTTGTTTAATCAATCGGAGCGCCGTCTAGAGCGGGCACAACCTTAACTGGGGCAGGTTTCACTTGGAAGCAGGATAAAAGATTCCACTTACGCAAATAATAATAAAAACACGCATCCACCTCGTTAACTGTGCCCTGAATGCATTTATAAATAATGTCAACTTGTAACGCCACCGCCACCGCACGATGTTCGCTTCCTCGCTCTCGTAGAGAGAGACGGGACGACTCGGAGGCGCCGGCAGGAGGAGGAACCACAGATGAGTGGGGAAGGTAGCAACAGTCAGGCGGTAAGGAGCTGGTGCTTCCAACAATTGCAAGCTCTGAGGACTTCTATACATTGAAAGGTGTTATCGGCCAATCAATGAGTTTTTAATTGTTGAAATAAAATATTCCATGTCATGTCTTCATTTTGACTGGGGTTAAAAAAAGCCTAAATATCAAAGTTGTATTTTTATTCGTTTCAAAACAGGGTTGTATATATTACGTATTTTGATTCGTTTCCGGGTTTGTACCACTATGTTCCTGAAGAAGCTCCCAGCGCGTGGTATAAAACGTCAGACATCGTGCCGAACGCCGCGCGGTACAAACCGTAAACATCGGAAAACCGCACCACACAACCGCGAATGCCTATACAGAGTTGTACGGTCGAATTAATTTAATCAATCAGTAAAAACATTTATTTATTGTTAATGAAAAGGCATGGACTCTTGTCTGACCCTTTGGCCAGCGGGCAGAGGTCTAAGTCCAGTCTGCCACACCCGTTTACTCCGTTCCGGATTTCCACACCATCCAATATCTTTTCAAAAGCTCACTCATGGTGGATGTGAAATTCGTGCCGGATCGGAGCAACACGGATTTGCATTCTGACACGCACGACCACCGACCGCCGAACTTCACTGATACGGAATGCGCCACTTGGCAGAAAGGGAAAGGGGGTGACTAGAGAGCGGGAAAAAGGCAAATACGACATACCCCAAACAAATTGAAACGTTCCATAAACGTCCCGTACCGACAAAACGAGAATCCTAAAACTTGACTCCATTCCCAGATGGTCAACATGTGCAATTGGTATGACTGGTTCAAAGGGATAAAGAACGTAGTTGATGTATGGACAAGGCAAAGGTGCAGCCCTGCAATTCCTTGCTTACACCACTGCTGGACGGAAGGGCCTCCATTAGCGGGAGCTCTGGAGTCTCAAAGACCCTCGGTCATTGAAATCTTACGCACACGTAGTCGCGACGATCTGGAAAACCCATGGTTGTTCTAGCTGCCTCCGGAAACTTAAATCCGCAAGCCGACACTAATCGTCGGCGAGAGAGAATCGTCAGGGAGAGGAATCGATCATCATTATCATCACCATATCCGCGTAGTTCTGGCGCGCAGATTCCGCTAGCAAAATGTTCGTGCGCGCTCGCGAAGCCGTGCACGGCATCCCTCTGTGACCCCCCCCCCCGCCTCCCATATAAAAAAAAAAACTCACTCCCGTGCACGCCCACGATGTGAGACGACGATGTGAGCGATCCGCCGATTATGCGAGATGAAGATGTAAAGAGCAGACGAGCGTAGTGGCCGCATCCTCCGCTCGTTAAAATACCCCAGGCGGCTTTGCTACCCCGCACCCCCCCCCCCCGTCCGCTCCCAAGAACTTGTGTTCACCCACACCTGGCCACGTCGACCTCTCTCCACTGGACAATCGTGCTGCTGTGCTGCCGACGTTGCATGCAGTTTAAGGAGTCGAGTCACATCTAGATGACACGGTGACATTGTGCACGCTTACGGTGTATGAAATTCCCTCGTTATTCACGAACTTGGCTATCTGTGATTTTGGCTATCCACGAATCGCACGACTACTGCATTGAGAGAGAAAGTGGTGAGAGAGGATGTGATGACAGAGAATGTGATGAGATAAAGTGATGATTGAGAAAACAATGCGATAAAGAGCTGAGAAAGACAGAGATAACTTCTCGAAGCTTCAGAAGCATCTGCAGACGTTGCACGTACGACATTCGTAGGCCAGTATCATTATCCGAGAAATGTTCTATTCACGAGCATCTCCGGAACTTATTCCTCGCGAATAGCGATGGAATAATGTACCCACTGACTTTACACGCAACAACGAATTTGATTGACCAGGACGCTGGCAGCTTGTGCGGCAGGCGTGTCACGGTTTGGTTCCGGCTCGGCCGGGCCCATCGCCAGTGGGGAAATCGCCCGTACCGTGGGGGACCCGGCGCTGGATCGGCACAGATGTGCCAGTGGAAAAGGGGATGAAGGGGACGCACAAAGAAGGGTTAGAAGAGGAGGCACGCACATCTGGCGAAACACCGACGTGTGACCCCGCAACACCAGGGTGGCGTCTCCGTGCGAGGTACAAGTTTGCACTGCGCTCATAAAAAGTCCTTGCGAGGGATATGCCTGGGCACGTCATGGAATGGACCAATGAATGCAGGAATTCCTCAGCGGTCTGCCTGTGCTGCCAAGAGTCTATAAATGTCTGTAACAGGAGTTGTATTTTTGTTACGCGTTTTTTTTCCCCGTTAAACTGTACCACGGACGTTTCAGCAGCCGAACTCACGGCGGGCGACGGGATGCTTTGCCCCGTAGAGATATGTACAAGCGTGTGCACACCTGAGCTCCTGTACCCCCGACACTTGGTGGGGCGTGCGACGCTTCCGAATTGCATCTGGCTCCCTGGTCGGGACACAGCTCCGAAAAATAAACAACTTAAGAAAGTCAACGGCTCTCGTATAATAAAAAAAACCAACACAGAGCCTCCCTTCAGACTCGACAAGCGTGCAAAATGCGGCTGTGCAGGATCTCTCCGCGGGAGGGCGCTCTCAGCTAGGGGAAGGGTCTTGTCGAAGACAGATTGTACCGCAATAGTTTCCGAGCAAAAAGTCGTTGGGCGAGCATAGATTCCCGTCTGTTCTGTTTGTCTCTGTCAGACTGAAGGGGTCAGGCCCGTGGGCTCCTCGGTGGAATCCCAGGAATTTTATAAAGGTGACAAATCCCAGGCCCCCTGGTGCTGACAGACCCCCCCCCCCCCCTGAAATGACTGTTCGCACTGTGAGCCTGTGTGTCATGCAAACCACGACAGCACGTGATCCCAAAGTCACTTGAACACGACTCGTACGATACAAAAATGGCTTTGGAATGAGGTTACTCACAACATTTGGGTTTGACCAAACCCCGCGTGCCCAACTTTCATCAAGTACCCAACGCTCCCACTCCCCCCGAAACGAGGCCTGAACCCTTCCAGGAGTGCAAATTCCACAAAAATGCGTGTTTTTGTTTAACCGGGAGAGTCACAACGACCACAACCGCCAAAGTTCAATTTACATTTAAAAATGCTTTTCGCGAACGGCGTTTTTCTTTCTCTCAACAACAACATTTTTTTTTCTTCTGCTCGCGCTCCCTGCATCAGGGCTTCGAATCGCATCGCCGGCACAACCGGTCCCCTGGCTGGCGCCCGGCGACTAAATGTTTCCGTCCTCCATCAGCTTGTTGAGGCCCTGGCATATTTTGGCGAGGTGCTGCTGGAAGGCCGGCTCGGTGCCGTAGAGCGCCGCCAGGAACTCGCCGTCCCCGAAGCTGCGAAAGACGTTGTCGACGCGTGCGTGCGACTTCTCCGTGAGGTGGTGGCCGATGAGGCGGTGCAGCATCTCGCGGCAATCTTCGAGCGTGCGCGCCAGGACGTCGCGGTCGAAGGTGAACTCCACCTCGTGGAAGCTGACGGCCGTGAGCGTCGCCTGGTTCAGCTTGCGCTTGAAGCGCTCCGCCGTCGCCAGCTCGTCCGTCGAGAACTGGCCGTTGCGTGCCAGCACGGCGAGCTTCACGGCCACCTTCACCAGGTCCTTGACGGCCTTCTGCGAGGCCTTGCGGTCGTGCGAGAAGGCCTTGCGCGCGCGGTACAGCTCGTCGAGCACGTCGCTCGCCGCGTCGTCGATGAGGAACCCCGCCACCGAGCGCGTCGCCATCTTGCCCAGCAGCTTCTTCTGGGCCTGCACGGCCAGGCTTTTGGAGCTGAAGCTCTCCATCTCCACTGCGCACACACGCACGCACGGTCACTCAACGTTAGCGATCGCGCCGGAAGCGACCGTGCGCGTGGCTCGTCACGAGGCGCGGTTGCTGCTCAGTGACGGAGCCACAGAATAGCCCGAGATGTTGGTTACCAGGGTGGCTGAGCCTATCACTCTCCGTGACACCCGCACACGCGTTATATTATTATTATTATGACGCTTGTTTACCAGGAAAGCCTCAATACGTTTTTGCAGTTGTAGGTGACAACTGCTACGCATTTCTCAACGATGTAATTTTAGAGTAATTTTTCACATTTGGCATAAATTAGAACCATGACGCCGGCACAAAATGGCCTACTCTTGCGAATAAAGTCAGGGATGGATCTTTAATGTCTACTTTGTAGCAGACAGCACCAGGGACGTACGGTTAGAGGAGGCAGGGGAGGCAGAGCCTCACCTGTCATACTCTAATGAAAATAGGTTACGAAAAAAAATCAAATAGAATAAATATTAAGATTTTTCTACTGATTAGTGTTACAAATGTCATGTCTGTACGATTCCAATCATTTTTATAGTCAAAATCGCCAAATTTGCGGAGCTCCGCTGCAAATACAGGAAGAGATGAGAGGTGAGGCAGCGACGAGCTCAGCCTCCCCTCTGATTGCGCAACCCCTCAGTAACTGGATGGAGCGCGGGCAATAAGCACGTGCCTGTTACTATCTCAGTATGTCACCAATGTAATGTTTATAGACCCATTCATTTCATGTCCTCGCCTTCCATACTCCAGGTAACATTTCACGTATGTGTATAAAGATATTTAGGCTCACTGGTTTCGTCATGAAACTGCAATGAAAAAGCACCAGGGGAGGCAGCTATCACATCTGCCTCACTGAGGGGGACGTGTCTAACACGCCCCCCTCAGTGTGGACATGCCCCCCTCAGTGAGGCCACGCCCCCCTCAGTGTGTGAATCTGGCTCTCACACGAGCCAGTGCCTCCCCAGCCACTGACCTCACCACACGTCACTGGACAGCACGTAGTCGTAGCATTGGTACGACGCGTTGCTACGACTAATACACACGGCAGTATTAACCAGGGTGACTGACGGCTTCGAACCGCAGTGTCACTGCCCCTCGATTCAAAGACAAAGATCCTCCATGTAGCCTGAACAGATTGTTGTGGCAATTGCTATTAGCAAATAGCACCTATGATGGCCAGTACGGCACACAAGGGGGTTGGATGGCCAGCACCACGCCCGACCGCCTTTGTCTCCCTAGTGGCGATGTTTACATACTGCACCAGGTACTCATTTGAGGCCGAGTCGACCTAGGGGAGGCCCAGAATCGTTTCAGGTAATCATCACGGGGAGCTCCTCTGGTAGGCAAGATTGCGTTGGCTGGGGCATGTAGCCCGCATGCTCAGCCACCACATGCCCATGCACCTTCTATATGACTGAGTAGAGGGGGCTTAATGGGCCTCGCATGGGCTAGAGAAAAGATGGACTGATGTGCGAGTGTGTGGGCGAGTGTGTGAGTGGCACAGGCTAGAAAAAAGATGGACTGATGCAGTAAAGGAGGATGTGGGGCTGAGTGGGCTTGCCGATGACTGGTACCAGCAGTGTCAAGATCGGCCTCAATGGAGAAGGCTCGTGAAGGACGCTACTAGGCAGTTGGAGGCAGTCGCCCTCCAGCAGCAGCGGAGGGTCGAAGAGCAACGCTGACAACAAGCAGAGCGTCGGGCGGCTAAAACGCAGAAAGTTGGTACAGTAGGGAGCACAGGTCTGTGCATCTGCGAGTCATCTCAGTCAGGCAACCCATAGCACCCGAGTCTGTCGCGTGGCCTCCTGCCAGCGCGCCTTTGAGACTTCACGTGGCCTCAAAGTGCATTTAGCTTAAAACAAGTTCTGCGGTGACGTCAGTGCCACTTCGTGGCGAATGGTGACTGCTGCTGTTGTTGTTGTTGGGGAATAGGGCATCATTAGGGCATCATCGCACTCAGCATAGATCGGCAGTGACAGTAAAGGTCGCGCGTCAAACCGCTCCACGCGACGGTGGCAATGACCCAAGGGACCGCACCGCCGATATTTATTTTCGCGATTTCCTTAATTGGTGTTAACGGTTGTCTTTTACATAACCATGGTGACAGCCGATGGACATTTGCTATCTCCAAGCTCTCGCTTGTTAAAGGTAAAGGTGCAAATCTGCAATTGCTGGCTAACGTCGCTGCTCAGAGTGTCTCCGGCGGTTACTTGGTCTACTCTTCCAGGCCGGCCAGACTTCTTGGAAGAGGTGGAGGTGCCCACACTTCACCCCGCCACACGTGAGCTGCCGATCGACAGACAATTAACTCATTCTCACTGCTGGATGGACAGAGACGGCGGGTGGGGGAGGTGGAGGGGTGACGAAGATAACCTGCACCGTTGTTTCGACTGCCGTGCCAGGATATGGAGTCGAACCGGCGACCTCTGGATTGCAAGTCCAGTCCACTGGTCACCATCACACAACAGTTGGCAGAGCCTCTCACCTGCTAAGCAATGCAACCATCTCATTGACTTGTCACCTGGTGAATAGCGATCCCCAGCGTGGTTCTAAAATTAATTATTTTGCTCAAACATAATTCCCCCACCGGATGTGGCGGTGTACGACTGATCCTCGCCACCTTGGGGGGGGGGGGGGAGCGAGGAGGGTTGGTGGATTACAGAGATCTGTGAAACTACCCAATTCTGCTGGACTGCCAGGTGGTGGCCAGAAGGTGGCAGTCCAGCAGCTTAATTGGAATCGATCTCCGTGGAACTCGGTCACCCACCGGCTGTGTGTGCTGAGTTTTCTCCGGGTCTTCCAGTTTCCCCCCAACATGAAGCCACACAGACTCACAAATAAACCTGGACTGTGGTACTCTCTAGACTTTGGAACTCTCTGGATGGTGGAAATCTGTTTATGTCTCTGGATTAAGGAACTCTCTGGACTGTGGAAGTCTGTGGAAGTATCTGGACTGTGGAACTCTCTCGAATGTGGAACTCTCTGGACTGCAGAACTCTCTGGACCTCTCTGGAATATGGAACTTTCTGGACTGTGGAACGAATCAACGGTTCAGCACAGAACGTCCCCTGCTGCCCCCCCCCCGCAAGCCCCCCCCCCCCCCCCCCCCCCCACTGCCGGCTGCTGCTACTACGAAGCCGCACGGCAGACGGCGCTGAGTGAAACGCGGTGCAGCTGCCGGAAGCGGTGGCGGTGTCCCGCCGGCACCGCTGGCTCGTTACGGGACGAGCTTCAATCAGCAGGCGGCGGCCGTGGCAGCGACTCGGCCTCCCTTTTGCCGAAACTAAACCGCGGCGCGAGCGCTGGGCGTCGGGCGCGGATGAGGGGGTGCGCGAGTGGCATCATCGCACGGCAGCTGAGGTCCGATCCGGGGGAGGGGGGGTGGAGAAATCCAAAGGGAGAGGGGCGGCGCGAGCGACATGGCCGGGGTCACCCACAAGCGCCCCCTCTCTGCGGGGGGGGGGGGGCACCAAGCCTCTAGGAGAGCAAAACCCAGTGGTCAAGTGCAAGGAGAATCACTCCAACCCCACCGCCACCCCCAATCCCAGTCCCATCACGTGCACCTCCTTGCCCCCGCGCAAGCCAAGGCAGGTCAGCGACATCGATGAACTCTGCAACGGGCCCTAAAAGCCACTGGAGACCAATTAATGGTGTCTGGACGTGTCCATTATACTCCTACCCGGCCCAATTAGGCGTACCTTGGGTGCACGGAAGCCCCTAATTAGGGGGGCGTGGCAGGAGGACCCTCCCTGCGCACAATGGCACGCTCCCAATCCCTGCTTCCCGTGCCCGCAGCAGGTGGGAGGGGCACCGTGGAAGGAGTAACGCGCCCCAGCCCTTCCCGTGGTGATGGTGGCGATGATGATATGGTGATCGGCAGGTGGGTTGAAGCTCCAGGGCGCCTAGCTAGCCGCGTAGCGGGCGCACGTGCGCGTGTTATTATTTCTCCAATTATTTGTGTAATTTTGTAACCATTTGTGTCATTCGTTCCCCCCACCCCCCATATTCTGTTGCGGTATTGTTCGAGTTTGCACGCGCGACTATTACATTTATATGCCCATGTAACCTCCGCTGCTATTTATCTGCCTAGCCCAGCTTAGGGTGCCGGACACCAGGAAAAAAACAGCCTCGTTTATCTCGCCGGGCTCTTCCCCCCCCCCACTTACATTGCACGTCCATGCGAGTCTACTTGCCGTCTACACCCCCCCCCTCGCCACCCCACACATGTGCTCATTAGCCACGCAGGCATTGACGTGGGTGCCTTAACGCTGCCCCGGCTGCTCTGTAAATGCACTCCAACACGCACGCACACACGGCATAAAGATCCCCCGCCGTAGAGCGCACAGAGACGGCCGCGAGCCATTGCTGTTATCGAGCACCCATTAACAGCTGGCACTGTCGCCTTGGGGAGCCGTGCGGTCAGTACTATGGCCGGCTGGCTGGCTGTTGTCTTGCCATCATTACCGACGACGACGCATACCGCGCCAGATACTTATTTATGGCCGAGTTGACCTAGGCGAGGTCCCAAACCGGTTTGGATATCACTCGCCAGCGATGTTCGTTGGCAATAAGCGGGAATCGAACTTGGGTAGACTTTGCTCGTAGCGTGGTGCGCGAACCACCACACTACCGCTCCCCACATAAAAACACAGTCACACGTGCACAACAACAACCGCCGTTCGCAACCGAGTTGCAGCGACGTCACCACGACTCTTGAGCAAGGCGAGGCGCACTTTGCGGCACACGTACGCGCGCGCACACACGCAAATTACCAACTTACACCGCTCCACGTGTCAAAAGAATTTACCACCTCAGCCGCAAAAACACCGCTACCCGTGAAATGCCACCTTCAGAAACTCGGCGTGTGGCACTAATTTCGCAAATGCAGCCTCTCTCATCGTCTCGAGCTTTTGGTGGATCGCAAGGAAGATTGCGAGGGGGGGGGGCTCAGATGGTCAGGTCGGTGCATTAAATATTTACGTCGCA